AGCCCTAAACTCTAAGCCCTAAACTCTAAACCCTAAACCCAAAGCCCAAATTAAACCCTGAACACTGCAGCGACATGAACCCGCCATCTGGCTTGACCAGCATTCAAGCTCGATTCACAAAGGGAGAGATGCAGCTGCGCCAAACCACCTCAGCTAAGCACATTGTAACCCTAAACCCTAAACCCTGAACCCTAAACCCTAAACCCTAAACCCTAAACCCTAAACCCTAAACCCTAACCCTAAACCCAATAAGGGGGCTTCGGAGTTTCAGGGAATCCTGTCCCATACAGAGACTTCAAGGGCTGACCCTACCCCTGAAGCCCTGAAGCCCTAAATCCCAAAGTCTAAACCTAAAGCCGAAACACCTTACGAACTCCTATGAGCCCTAAATCCTGAACCTTTGATCAACCTAACACAGAAGCACCATACAGACTCCTAAACCCTAAACCCTAATCCCGATCTTCAACCTGAAGCCGGAAGCAGGTGAACCTCCTCGTGAAGTCGGAGGACTCTCGCCGCGCGATTTCTGCACTTCCCCCGCCCTTCAACCCCCCCGAAACCCAGAGGGTCCTGGGAGTCCTGGGTACAGTTATGAGGGGTACTTTCCCAAATCGTATTCGCAATTCTTTTTCTATAAAAAACCGGAAATGCTACTATAAAGGTACATAGGTCACTTTGGGAAAGGAAGCCGACCGCTGTAGATGAACTGCCCGTCAAAGGACCAACAAAAGGAGCCCTAGAGTTGAAAGGTGCTTCAAGTCTTACATCCAAGACTGTCCATATATGAATATATATATATATGTATATATATATATATATACTATTCTGGCCCCCGAGACTAACTTAGTAGGATGGTCTTCTGGGGCCAAATTCCATAATGGCAGTGTCTACGGAGCTTCTGGGTCTATTATAGTTCAAGGCACCCTGCGCCTTAAACCCTAGACCAAATCCTAAACTTCACAGACCCCAAGAGCCGCTCTAACTAAACCCAAAGCTCTTGGAGCAATCAGCCGAAGTCTCGGGACCCCATATGTCGGGAGCCACCGTAGCACATTTTGGTTGCCGGTGCTTATCGAAAGGTTCCATTTCAATATACTTCTACTGGTTACAGATGTTGTTATTACCCGGTTTCGGGTTTAAAAGTACGTTTATTCTTTGTCCCTGACTCATCTTTATAGGAACCCCTTTCAGGCCTAAGTATATAAACCCTAAACCATAAACCATAAACCCTAAACCCTAAACCCCACATAAGAACCCCCTTAAGGCCTAAGTATATACTATATGGGTGCATGGAGCCTTTTGGGACCCGGCTTCAGGTCTAGCAGTCGGAAGTTTCCCCATGGGGTAGTTCTCTGAAGTAGGGTCCCCCATAAGAAGGACCCTAAAAAGGGACCCCTGCAGGATTTTGGTTCAGGGTTCAGGTTGGTAGCTTTAGGTTCACGGTTCGAGGCAGAGTGGCCCTGCGATCTTATGGGATCCTCGGCGGAGATTTCGTGTCTGTACATGCGAGGCCCAAACAGGAACCCCCACAACCTCAACACACCGAAATCCTGAACCCCTGAACCCTAATTCTGTCGAGCTTAGCTAATAATTTGGCTAAACCCTAAACCCTAAACCCTGAACCCAAAACCCAAAACCTTTCAACCCTAAACCCGAAACCCTGAACCCTAAACCCTAAACCCTAAACCCTAAACCCTAAACCCTACCCGCTCACTCATGTCAGCGCATGGTGCCCCACAAAGGAGGAAGCAATGGAGCCCCAGAAGAACTCCTGTCCTAGGCCCCTGGGAATCTGCTTGCTCTTCAGGATTTAGGGCTTAAGGTTTAGGGTTTAGGGTTTGAGGTTTAGGGTTTAGGGTTTAGGGTTTAGGGTTTAAGGTTTAGGGTTTAGGGTTTAGGGCTTTAGGACTAAACAAGCTCAACCCCGAGCACACGGGGCCTAAACCATGATCCTGTACACTCTAAGCCCTTCTGTGGAGGGTTCCTTTAAGGGCTCCTTCACTCCTTCACCCTAAACTCTAAACCCTACATCCTAAACCCTTTAAGAGTTCAGGGGGTCGGACCAGGACAAGCGTGGGCTCACCGGTGGCGGGCGCTACTTCGGAAACGAGAAGAAGCAGGCCTAGAGCTGGGTTTGCGCTTTAGGGTTTAAGGTCGAGGGTTTGGCGTTGAGGGCTTTCAGCTGGCAAGAACACCATACAGATCAACAGCGTCATCGAGTTGAGTGGTGCGGAACCTGACAAAGAGACATCGCAAAATACTATGCTCAGCCATCTTGTGAATATTGTGGCATCACGCGGTCAGGATAGACAGGTGCCCACAAATAGGTGAAGAGCAATTTCACAGAGAGAACTATGGTTGGCTATGATGCACTCCCAGCAGGGATCTTGTCAATCATAGCCGCAGCCCTACACTCTAAACCCTGAACCCCTAAAACCCTAGACCCTAGGCCCTAAGCCAAGAGCCCTGAGTTAGAGAGCATTTAGACAGCTAGCTGCTCTGAGGCCGCCTTTTTTTGCTTTTTGGAAGACAGGGGGGTTTTAGGGTTTAGCAGGGCCCTAAACCCTAAACCCTTGAGGTTTAGGGGTCCAGGGTGTCGGATTTGAGGTTTCGGGGTTTAGGGCGTAATGTTCAGGGGTTTAGGGTCCCTAACCCTAAACCCTAAACCCTAAATCCTAAACCCTAAACCCTAAACCCTAAACCCTAAACACTAAACCCTGAGCCCTCAAGGTTTCGGGGTTTAGGGTTTCAGGTCTTGGGGTTTAGGGTTTAGGGTTTAGGGTTTCAGGTCTTGGGGTTTAGGGTTTAGGGTTTAGGAGTTCAGGTCTTGGGGTTTAGGGTTTAGGGTTTAGGAGTTCAGGGGGAAGATGGGTAAGCTGTAAGGGATTTACAGGGGTTCTATGAGAGTTCTGCAAGGTTTTAGGGTTAGGGCATCCGGTCTAGGGTCTAGAGGGTTTAGGATTTAGGGTTTAGGGTCTATAGGGGGGGTTTGGAATACACGATTTTGAGTTTGCAGGTTCAGTTCAGGGTTAGGGATTTGGTGGGTTTGGGGTCTGGGGCATGTGGGTTCAGGGGTTTCGGAATGGTTTGGGCGGACAGGATGAGGGCTTTAGGGTTTTGGGCTTTATCTGTTTGTGATATGCAAGGGTTTGGGATTTCGGGGCTTGAGGTTTACATCGGGCGCAGGGGGCCAGTTTTCTCCATCGCGTGGCCGTCTCCAGTTCAGCGGCGACCAAACAACCCGTCTATAGCTCTGGCCGTCTCGCGCCTGCCAGGATGATGCGCCCAAGAGGACCTGCAGCATGCTGAAAACCCACTGGCATGTGGAGGGCTATGAAGGATAGATAAATTACAGGGCTCAGGAACATCACCGGTGCAGTGGCAGTAGTAGTCGCGCGCATGAGTGCAGGAGTGCGCGGATTCTTTAGCCTTTCCCGGCTCTTGGGCGGCCACGCAACGCCTGTGCAGAGCCCCGCAGCAAAGCATCGAAGCTGCATGCAAAGGCTCAGGGCATATGGAAAGCGTAGGGTTCAGGGTTGGGAGTTTAGCGCCTTGTGCATGCGTCTTGGGACAATCATCACCAGCACAATGTGGTTATCCGGTCCATCACAGTCGCCATCTTTTTTCAGCGACATCAGCAGAACAGGAGTTGCAACGTCGCAGAAGTCGTAGCGGTCATCAGATTTGATTTCCTGGTACCATACTGTCGTCATTAGCATGATTGCTTGTTTGCCGCCGTTGCTGTTGTCGGTAAGGCTGGTCGTGATAGTGACGATCAGTTCGAAAGTGGCTGACGGTTGTTGTGGTTGCTACTGTAATTACCATAACCGGAGTGTATCATGCTCGATCTCAGGCTGTGGCTTCTTTTATCCGTCTGCCTGTTGATCTGATTTCTGCTGCTGGTTAACACTACAAATCTTTCTCTGCACGGTCTGAGCACAATTTTCAAGGTTTGCCATCATTGCGAGCCCATTCTTCAAGTATATGTAATATATACTTCATAGTCAGAGTTTGGGATGGTAGTTGTTCAGCATGGCCGTCCCTCAGAGAGATAGTTTGATTTTCCAACTTTTCATTTAGGAGCAGGTCTGAATATGTAGTAGCAGATTGCCGTATAGTCCCTGTATATCTGTAGAATATATAGTATACTCAACATCCTGAGCCTAATTACTTGTCACCCATAACGCAAACCCCTGAACCCTTTTTAACCCTCTTCGTGTTATTAAGGCTCTCATGTTTCTGTTGTTGGAGGGAAAGGTCGAACCGAATATGAGGCGTTCTTGCCTGAAGTGTCAGCGCGCGAAGCCCTACCATTCAACCGCACATCCTGAAATCCCAAACCTAAAACAAGACGGCCCTTAAGCCCCGAATCCTAAATCCTAAACATAGACATAGTCCCTGTTTATGACCGAATCGTGAGCCCAAAGCATTGTGTCCTAAACCGAAACCCTGAATGCTGGATGCGCCCTCTCAGGTATCGCGTGGCCATCATCGGCGGCGGCTCGGCAGGTGTCTCTGTGGTGTCCTGGCTGCCTAACTTAGCACAAGTGCAAGTTACAGCATAATGTAAAGTCATGGTAAACTACAATGTGCTTGAAGGACCACGGGTGATTAGCAATCAGCAGGGTTAGGGGCAGATTTCAATCGGGCAGTTAGTGCTCATATCTGACATTTTTTACGTGTAGCCCTGCCTTTACGAGTGTGTAGCCCGGAGGGTCCATGTACACTCCCATTGTGAAACTGGGCATCAAAACTATCCTAGTAGCGGTTCCGCGGGGCTGCTAACCCTAATTAAGCCCTAAACCCTAAACTTTTCATGAACCCTATAAACCCTAAACCCTAAACCCTAAACCCTAATTAGGCCCTAAACCCTAAACTATGTATGGACCCTCTTGGAAGGGTATACTTGGGGCCCGACGCTCGGCAGTCACTCCCGTGTGGCCCGGTTCAGGGTTTAGCGTTTAGGGTTTAGGGTTTAGGGTTTAGGGTTCAGGGTTTAGCGTTTGGGTTTCGTGGTTTGAGGGTTCCAGGGTCCAGGGTTTAGGGCGCCTACATCCCCAAGCCCACCTGAAACCCTGAACCATGACATGGCCTGTGGAAAGAATGGTAGCTCTGCTCAGCGTGTTTGGCTTCTGGAGCCTTTGCTCACCCTAAACCCTGAACCCTAAAGCGTGGTCCTAAACCCTAAACCCTAAGGTTCGAGGGTTTCGGTTGAATCTTTCGGGTTGAGTGGCCTTCTCTGCTAGGCCTCGCAGCTCATGAAGAAGTTGCCAAAGAGCCTCCACTCCGAGATCGCCATTATCGAGCCTTCGGACAAGTACCTGGCCCTGCAAAAGGGAGAGCTGTGGAGGTTTGGGGTCTCCCCAAACCCTACCCTTAGGAGCCCAATTCAATAGGTAAACTTTAAGGTTTTTGTATATTGAACCCCTACCAAAAGACAAGTTTAAGCTTTTTTGGGCCAGGGTATTGGGCTTAAAGGTACCTAAAATCGCCATTGTATTTCTTTTTTTGGGGTTTAAGCCAATTGTTTTAAATTTGTTGGATCCTATAAGGCTATAAGGTAACCCCAAAGGAAATACAATGGATACTATAAGTAGAATCCAGGAACATCCTTACATGCATGCGCTTGAAGTAATGCATAGGGAATTCCAGCACCCACTCTCCTAAATCCATGCTCAATCTTGGTGCGGTTCACTATAGTCACTACTATAGGGCACGTCTAGGATTTAAGATGCCTTTTGTAGGGTCTTCGTGCTTCTGGGATCTGGAGCTTGGGGGCAGTTACGGTGTAGGGTGTTTGTGCCGCTGGGTTTTAGGAGTTCAGGGCCGATAGGGAGACGTAGGGTTGCGGGGTTGAGGGCAGTGGGCCTCGATGGGTCAGGTGTTGTGTGGAGTGTTGGGGTTCAGCGCGCGCAACATGTCAGCTTCCTAACAAGGAAAACCTGCACCCTGCAAATGTGGTTGGTTTTGTTCATGCTGGTTCTATTTAGATTTGCCAGAGTGCTATCCTCTTCTCGGGCAGAGGACACAAATCGGCTGCTACATGTGAAAGCCCATACACAGGTTCAAAACAATGAACCGTAACACCCGAAACACCAAACCTCTTAAATCCCAAACCCGAAACCCCAAAACCCTAAGCCCAGATTCCAAACCAAACTTTAGAGCCCAAGCCCTGGATCCCACATGCAAATTTGCTCTACCGCAGACCCTTCCAATCTCGAAGCCCTAACTTTCCGGAAGCAGAGGCCCTTACACAACTTACAAACTGGCAAGCGAAAACCATCAACAAACTGATAAGCTCTAGCCAAGGTTCGGCAGATAAGTCGGAAGAACTCCCGTGAATTCAAAGTAAGGCGTTGAGGATGAACGTAGAGTTGCCGGTGTTTTCTTCCGTTTAGGGTTTCGATTTGAATAGAGCACGCTCTGTTTTGAGGATTCCTTCAATGTCCGAGACAAAATGTTCTAGGGTTTAGGGTTTAGGAGGACATTATCATGCCTCAGCGGCTTGAGTTCCGTTGGGCACGAGGTAGAGCTGTGATGGGAGTTTAAACTCTCATGGTTTCAGGCCAAGCATTCAGGGATTTGGTTTCGTCGGTGTTTTAATGTAGGGGCCTATAGAATTTCCTATCCAGTTTGGGGTTGGTACACTATCTTCCAAAACCCTATTCTAATCATTAAGGCCCCTACCTTAGGCTCTAGCCACTTGTGGGCTCGCGGAGTCTGCAAGGCACTTCTATCAGCCGTACTGGACGATGGTCGGAGGAGCATCGGGCAGCCCCCCTATGAATCCTAAATCCTACCGGCCCCTAAACTTCCTAAACCCTAAACCCTAAACCCTAAACCCTAAACATTGGGCTTTTGGGGTCTTTTCGGCAGCTGAGATTTATGGGGTGTAGGGTTTAGTCCCAAGCCCCAAGCCCTAAGCCTTAGGGTTTCAGGTTTAGGGCTTTGGGGTTTAGGGTTTAGGGTTTCAGGTTTAGGGTTTTGGAGTTTAGAGGGTCGAGGTGTCAAACCCGGAAACATTCACAACCGTCAAACCCGGAAGCATTCACGACCGCATCAGCTCTACATCCGAAATCCTGGCGCGCATGTCTTCTAGGAGAAGCGAGCTACTAAACCCATGTAATATACGGGCTTTAATAGTTACCTATACTTTTTTTTGTTGGGGGGGGTCCTTATTATATTTAAAAATTATACCTCAATACCCTATTCGGATCATTAATTAAGGCCCCAATATTAGTCGTGAGCCCTGCAATACCCCAACCTTTAATCTTTTTGGGTTCTTATACTTTAGTAGTATTCTGAAAGTTTAACCTTTAATTTCCCTGCCTTATTGGGGAAGCAGGATTTTGCAGTATCACAACCTCTAAGCCCTGGTCTAACAAGTTTTTCACCTCAAGCATATAATAGTTTGCAATAGACAACGACAACTCCTCTGTGCTATCCATTATATCCTAAATCCCACTCAAATTGCTAAACCCTAAACCCCTAACCATGAAAGCCCAAAGCCCGAGTCTTAATCCCTAAACCCCCCCGATCCGACAGCCAACGCCCCAACCCTGAGTTGCGAACCCTGCCCTAAACCCTGACAGTGACTCCAGAACCCCAAAAAAACCCTAAACCACTAGACCCTAACCCCTAAACCCTCAACCCTAACCTCTAAATCCTAAAACCCAAGCCCTAAAACCTAAATCTGGCAGGGGTGAGGACGCGGGCCTAGCGGTGAACACATCTCGTTGGAAGGAGCCCACCACCAGCTCTGCGAACTACGTCTGGAGACCTGGACTGCGCGCAATGGCTACGATGATGAACGTCGCTGGCGCCTCGGCGCGGAAGAACCCCGCGGCCATGTGGGCCGGGTGCAGGTGCGCAGTCGGGCGGGTGTGTGGGTTGTGCTACCTTGCACCGGTGCGCAGTAGAGCTGCTGGCCCTGGAGCAGCCATCCGCCAAAAGCAGGCAAAGAAAGCTGCAGAGGAGAAGGCAGAGGAGGAAGGGAAGAAGAAAGAGGCGGAGGCCAAGAGACAAGCAGAACAGGAGGAGAGAAAGCAGGAGGCTGCGGCAAAGGATGGAGAATTTCAAGATGATGGATATAACGATCTTCGTGACTATGAGGACGCTTTTGAAATGGTGGAAGGAAGCTCCCAATGGCAATCTTGGGGCGGCGCGGCACTTGTATGTGCCTGCGGAGAGTCAGGCGAACTGTGCAGGATGAACTTCGCCGAGTTAGTGGTTCCACAGCCCGTGAAATTACGAGACGCCTCGTGAGCCGTCAGACGGTCCTGGCGGAGATCCAACTACATCTCCAACGAGCGCTTGAAACTGCGCTTCGAGTATGTCCTCCGCATTCTGATGGGCGACTTCCTGAAGGGACACGTATAGAGGAGGAGAATATTTGGAAAGCCGCTGTTGGTCTGGACCCTGACATTACTCTTCTACGACATCTTCGCGCTGCCACAGATGCCCCCCCCCCTCTCCCCCATTAACTTTTCCAACGACCAGCTCTATACACGTCCTGCAGGTTCGACATGTACCACCTCTCCGGAAGGTTGCCTGAGGCTGGAGTTCACGGACCGGCGGCAGCTCCACCTGATTTCACTCTTCAGGACATGCTACGAGAATTTGCCGCAGCTAGGTGACGATGACGTCGTCGTTCTGGTGGGCTCCCGTAGTGGAGCCCACTTGGGTACTCTGCCAGGTATTCGGTTTGGGCGGTCCAAGCACCGGGGCCTCCGCGTTTGGCGGGGGCTACCCCGAAGGGGTGTCCGCCGCATCAGCTTGGACAAGCACTGTCACCGTTCTATTCGGCGTCATTGATTTAAAAAGAGAATCTGTGTGCATGTCCTTGGATTTGATAAAATACTTGTTGTCGTCGTCGTCGTCCTCCTCCTCCTCCTCCTCCTCCTCCTCTTCGTCGTCGTCCTCCTCGTCCGCGTCGTCCTCGACTTGGTTCTGGTTGTTTAGCAGCAACAGCATTTATGTAGAGTAGTACTATATACTATAGTAGTCAGATGCTAGACTTCGTCGACGTGCCCGACTACTTTCGGAAGTTGAGGATGACCTGACGGCGGACCGCGGTCGTGAACGTACTCCTCGTCCACGCCCATCCCGTTCTCAACATCTCCGCGATCACGATGGTGACCTTGATCCAAGACCACCGTGTCTTCGACCTTGGTGGGACCGTCCACTTGAAAGCCTACAGGGAGAGACCCCGCGCTCGTCAGGCAGTGGACAGGGCAGAACTGACAATGCAGGCTTTGATCAGATGCCTGGGCGAGATGTTCGGCGACGCGGGGATGATACAACACTGCGTGCTCTACCTGCTTCAGCACTTCCTGGTGGACATCCTGTACTACATGAACGTGAAGGGGATCTTCGTGATGGAGAAGATTCACTTTTTGGTGGATATCCTGTACCAGGTGAAGGGGCTCTTCGTGACGGAGAAGATTCAGCACTACCTGATCCTTTACTTGCCTCAGCACTTCCTGACGGAAGTCCTGAACATCATGAGGGTGAAGACGCACTTCGCGAAGGAGACGATTCGGCACTACCTGACCTACCTGCTCGTGATGGGCAAGAGTGTGGCAATAAGATGAACACAGTGAAGGAGATGTTGTGGACAGTGGTCTGTGCGAGGCTGAAGGTCAGTGTGAGAATGATGCACAAGTGCTTGCCCCACCTGTTCCTTCACTTGATGTTGCACGTCCTGAAGACGATGGATTACGAGGTGAGGAGGATGGTCTGGCTCTACCGGCCTTACCTGCTCGTCTTTCACAAGAAGATGGGGAGAATGCCTTTAAATCTGGATGACGTGCCGGATGCAACTGGTGCTATGGCCGACGTGATTGAAGGGGGACATGCGGCACCACAACAACATGGAGAAGAAGCTGATGATGATGGACAACTAGACCCTGGAGTTGTTCGTGATCCTCACGATCGTGACCGTGAAATGAGGAGTCTAGAGGGAAAGGAGGAGATGGATGAATGAGAATGGCGTGGACTTTGTCTTGGCCGGATCATGGCCGCGGTGCTGGGTACCTTGGGGCTTCTGTCCGTCTGTCAGTGCTCCTTGCCTTCCCTGGAACCCCCACTTGCCACGACTGCTTTGACAAGTCGATCAACTGCCTCATTGTCTACACGATTAAGGAGCCACCTTTCAATGGTATGATGTGAAGATCGTGTTTCACCCACCACCAGTGTGTGCTTCGGCAGACTTAAAAGTCATCACACTTAAAAAAACCTTAAACCGCAAACCCTAAACCCTAAACCCCCAAACCCTAAACCCTACCCGAAGCTCGGAGGATTGCGCTTGGACAAAGAGAAGTCGGTGCTTCCCATGAGCAAGGACGGGGAGAGACGTCGGGGATCAAGCTTTGGGGCTTTAGGGTTTAAGGGTTTAGGGTCTAGGAGTTTAGGGTTTAGGGTTTAGGGGGTTTAGGTTTTAGGAGTTTAGGGTTTAGGGTGTAGGATTCAGGGTGTAGTTTGGGATTTATAAGGGTTCAAAAACGGTTCTCCTAAATGAAGGCCTTCTACGCCCAGACACCAATCCACGAAACCAGCTGTACCGGTGGATTTGCGCTAGTTTGAGTTTCAAGATACAACTCCGGGAATGTGGTGAGAGATCGCAAAAAGCAGCACTGTACCGTCTATAGGTTTAGGGTTTTAGGTATTTGGGGTTTAGGGCTCAGGGTTGCAACGCCTAGACCCTGCACCACATGGGCAGTTCTCTAAATTACAGTTCCCTTTTGGGTCCCCAATATAGTACGGCACCCCTCTAAACAGAACCCTAAAAAGAAACCCCAAACCCTAAACCCCCAAACCCCTAAACCCCTAAACCCTAAACCTTAAACCCTAAACCCTAATTTTTAGAGAACAAACCCGTAAACCCCTAAACCCTAAACCCTAATTTTTGGAGAACTACCCACATGACCCCCCACCCTTGGGGCTCTTGGGAGGTCATTCCCACGGGCGTCTCCTGGGCATCTGGGCTCTGCAATACGATGCTTTTGGTTTGGGGTTTAAGGTTTAGGGTTTAGGGGGGTCTTAGGGTTCGAGTTTAGGAGTTGGGTTGGGGAGTTTTGGTTGTTGCTTTTGGTTTGGGGTTTGGGGTTCAGGCTTAGGAATTGTGGATTTTGGACCCTAAACCCAGGTAAAGGAGGGCTGCGCGACCTTCGAGCCGGACAACAACAGTATCTCCTTGAAAGGTGCCTTGGAGTGTTTTGTGGGGTTTATACCCTAAACCAACCCTTAGGGTTTAGGGTTCAGGGGAGTCCAGTTTGGCCAGTTTTGGCCTAGGCTTCCTGCCCCCCTTGGCTTTTGAGTTGCAGCGAATCGGACTTCCCCAGTAGCCTGCCGCAAAAGAAGACCCTGCAAATAAGACTTTCCCAACAGCTTGCTTCAAAGCAAAGCCGAAGGACCCCTCGGCCAAGCCATTTTTGTACAAGGACTCTCTCGAAACCATAAACCCTAAACCCTAAACCCACCCAGCCGGTTTAGGGCTTAGGGTCTCAGAGGCCCTGTACGTGGCCCCGAAAGCTTCCCCCGGTCACGCCTGTTTGGGGGGTCGGCTGCTTAGCGCTAGGGGTTTAGGGTTTAGGGTTTAGGGTTTAGGGTTTAGGGAAGTAGTACCACTCACTGTAGCACTAGCTAGTAGTCGTGGGAGCAAGGGTAGGAGTAATTACTTCAGACACTGCAGCATTTGTATCCACCCTAAACCCTAAACCAGGATGCAAACCCATTGCTCATTGTTTTTGTTTCCTCGTGCACTTTTGTGACATTTGACACTCTGGAAACCAATGCTCCTCCGGCCTCTTCAAGCCCCGAGAAAACTTCCCGAGCCAAGCTTTCAAACCCACACTCTACCTATACTCTCCATTGTAGTCTATAGGATCCTAAAGACAACATTGGTTAAAACAATAAAAAGGAACTACAACGGAAACTATAGGTAACTGGGGCCCTGAACTAGCCTCAGCTTTCCCCGAGGTGGTGGCAAACTCGAGTACGACGTCTTGGTCGTGACGGCCGGGCTGCAGCAAAATTTTGGTCTCGTGCCGGGTTTGATGGACACACTCGGCCACTTGTCTTGCTTAGGGGTAATAATAGGGGCCTAAATAATTACACCTTTTACATTGAGGGTTCCTTTATTATAAGCATAGTCGAGTGGGCCCCAAAGCCCTATTCTGATTATTGAGGCCCCTATATTATACAAGCTCGAAACCCTAAGTCTCCAAACCCACACTGCTTATCCCAATTCTGACCCTACGTGCTCAGTCACGTCCTCGGATCTATGGCTTTGGACACCTCGGGCTTTATGGGATTAAAGAGTGTTGGGCTCGGGGTTGTTGATGATGTCTCTGTTTATGTCTTGAAGACTCACACCTTAAGGTACCTCGGCCCAGTATTTGAGCAGCACTTCCGTTTCCAAAGCTTTTTGGGTCTTGAGATTTGCATGTCCTGAACCTTAAACCCTAGAGAGGCTGTGCATTTAGAGTCTTTGTAGGTTCTCAGCACTTCCAGCTGACATTTAATCTGAGTGCTTTCTAGAACTGACCGACTGAGAGCCAGTTGAGGAAAGAATGGCGTGTCCTCGATCTATTCCTACGAGTTCTCCTCGAAGGTCTGGGAGAACATCGAAGCAACGAGACTCGACTTTTCTGAAACGCCTTACACTCGGGGCCTCATGGTGTTCCATATGGCTAAAGGAGTCTCAGCCCTTGAAAGGCCTTAACCCTAAAGCCTTAAACCCTTACATCGAAATGCCAAAGAGCAGCAACTCTAAACCCAAGCTCTAATCACTGTGTTTAAGGTTTAGGGCTAAGGGCTTTGGCATTTCGGGTCTTGGCGACGGGGCCGAATCCCAGCAGATGCTAAACCCAAAAGCTTTTTAGACATAAGTGCTGCCAGATTGTTATAGAACAAGCCCGAATCATATCCAACATCAATCGTCGGGGTTCTTTCTTCTTGTATATGCTGCAATATACACTAAAGCCCTATTCTAGTGAGTACGGCAACTATAGTATGCGTATCCCGCAGCTCCCGTCTTAGCCCAAAGCTCCATGAGTCAAAGCTCTGAAATCCGAAAAAGCCCTTTATAATATACCGGAGGCTGCATCCCAAGCTCTAAACCCTAAGCCCGAAACCCTAAAACCTAAACCCAAAGCCCTAAACCCTAAACCCTTAACCTGGGCTCTGAGGCATTATCTCAGTGGCTGAGTAGGTAACCTTCGATCTTTCAGGGCTTATGCATTCGCACCTTACTTGGTTTAAGGTTTTAGGGTTAAGGGTTTAGGATCTAGGCGTTTAGGGTTTAGTGTTGGCTGAGGGTACTCAGAAGGTAGCGTACACTGACTTGCTTTTCGATCGTTGGGAGCTCCTGTTCTTATTGGAACCTCTGCAGCATAACTTAAAGGGTGCAAACCGTACGCCCTACATCTTGAAGCCCTGATCCCCAGCACCCCAGCTAATACGAAAGCTTCCAAGAAAGTCCTAAACCCTAAACCCTAAACTGATATCAAGAAAACCTCCGGGAATTCTTTGGAGCAGGTAACAGACCCTCTAACACGTATTGACAAAGCCTTAACCAGGCCCTTCCAAGGGTTGATGATATCAATCCTGCATTGCCCATTTTAAGGAATATACCAGAATTCCCAGTTTAGGGTCCTTAAGGTAATGCCCTAAACCCTATAAACCTTACAATAAACCCTAAACGATTTGGGCTAGTAGAGGCTCCAGTTCAGCGGAAAAGGCGGTGCGGGCGAGCAGCCCGCAGCAAAACGACACCCAGGGAGATTTGAAACAGCGTAACTCTCAGACAGAACTGATGCGCAACCGCTCCGCTATAGCAGAACTGGAACTGGAGGCTTTATCTACAATTCATGTGTGCTTTTGAGTGACGGCTGGTAAATTTTCAGGGCATTTTTGCTGGTGCTGGGGGTCTGGCTGGAGGCTTGGGCGGCTTGGGCTGGGAGTGTGGTTCCAGGAAATTTATTTTTCAATTCTAAATTTCCGCAGCCTCCCCTGTGAGGGTCGGCTGGGTGGAGGTAGAAGCTCCAGTTCAGCGGAAAAGGCGCTGCGGGCCGCCAGCAAGACGACACCTGTTAAAATGCGGCCTAACGAATCTTTGGCGGTCTCAATTCTCCTTGGTAAGCCAAATATCTCGAGTCCAGGTGGGGAAACGGCAAAACTGACGCCACCGGCGTTCGAGCCCACACACATACTTCGCATGGTTTCCACGATGGGTTTCAGGGGTTTGGGTGGGTGTCCGGGCGAGACTCTCAAATATTTTTTGGCGTGTGCCAGAGTCTCATTTCTTGTTTGATAAGATTTCTTAACATACTGGTTCACCGTATTTTGGTTTATCGGTTTCTTGTGCTCCAATTGCCCTTACTCTGATGGTTCAACCGGCAATTCAGGGGGGTCGCAATCTAGAGATGTATCGGATTTCGGGCTACAGGTTGTGTGTGACAGCTAAAAAAAGTAGGGCTGCAGGCGCACGCTGTTAAACCATGTCTTCCGGAGTGATGCCTTGTGAAATGCTGCATACAGCTACCTGCACGGCTATATATATGGGTAGTTCTCTAAATCAGGGTTCCGTCTTTTGTCCCCAAGAAGTGGTACGGCACACGTATCAGAAGGACCCTTGAACTAAAGGGACCCGAATTTTGAGAACTACCATCCGGGCCTTAATATGTATATATTATTTTGAGGGTTCCTTATTCCAGGAAATAAGTATACTGTAGTATAATACACCCCAAAGCCCTATCCTCATTATTAAGACCCCTATATTACCCATATGAGTTGAAGCTTAATTGAATGCAAGACCTATTCGAGCGCAAGATCCAGCGTTGACAGCTAATATAGGAGCCTAAATAAGTACCTATACTCTTTTGGGGGTGTTCCTTATTATAACTATGGTATAACGGGCCCCAAAAACCTATTCTAATTATATAAGGCCCCTAGATTTGTCGCCACTGCTATTTGGGCGGGAAAGTTCTGGGTCTGTAGGCCGCATGTAAGATTCATCAAAAAACGAGCCATAGATCCTTCATGCAGGTTCTTTGGGTAGCTTGCGTTTGTCCTTGGAAAGACTTAAGCTATTCTCAGGAGTGTTCTGTCTCTGTCCCTAATTTGTTCTGGCAGTTGCAGATAATTTGTGTCTTTTTTGTGTAAGGCACACCCCAGACGTGTAGACCCCTCTCTCGACAAAGGTGTATCCGCCTATTCAGGCGGCTGTCTTGTGTCGGATCCACTATCTCCGCGCGCGTTCCTGCAAAACATTTGGTTGCTCTTGCTTGCTGGGATTGTTGCACCTTTCGGCTCCTTGCGCTATATAGTGGACCTCCTGGGTTTAGGGTTTAGGGTTTAGGGCCCTAGTGTGCAGGCAGCTCTTCGTTTCGCCATGGACCCTCACGATCGCTACGGCTATGAAGAGGCGCTGTCCGCGAGGATGGTGAAGTTCGGGGAGGAGGAAGTCTCTGGAATGGACTCGGATGAAGACGAGGAAGACACTGACGCTGAGAGTTTCAGAGGCTTCAGGATCCCAGACCCAATCTTAAGGCACCAGATATTCACGCTGCACTTGGATGAAGAGGGCGTTCATGGACACAGCCTAAGTGGTGAGGTGTTGTTCGAGATTCGGCGGAGTCGTTTGCACTCTGAGCTCTTCACTGCTGGAATGCTCTTGGAGCTGATTTCAGAGGAGTTCGGGTGCGGGACCGGGGTTCTCCTCCGTGATGGCACCGAGCTACTTAGTTAGCCAATAGGAGAACTTTAAATTTTTTGGCCTATATGTTTGGACTATCCTAAAAGTTTGAACTTTTTTGGGCCTGGTTGTTACAGAAGAAAGGCTATCAATGTCCGATCTTGTCGGTGGAGAAGGGGTTCTAACACTAAAGCAGACGATTCGAGACTGTCGAGCCCTTCTGTGCCGAAAGGTCGACCGAAATGGCCATCCGAGGTTAGTCGAGGCGGAGATTCATCCAGACCTCCGCGATGTCACCGAACCCGTCCAGGCACTAAAGGAGTCGCGGACGTTCGTGACAAGTCTTGGCTATCAGAGTGCACCTCATCAGGAGGAGTGTTGGCTGGTCTATACCAAACGCCAAGTCGTATCCTACGAAGCAGGCGATTATGAGCCGTTGAAGCCGTTCGGATATTTCCCTCAGGCACCTCTTTGGAAGCTCCCGGCAGGAACAAGGCAGTGGGGAGGTGCCAGAAGTGATGTCTGGAGTACTTGCCTCGAGTTGCCTGTGCGACAGCTATTGGATGAGCACGCAGCCTTAACGCTCGACAAGCCGATACCACGATACCAGATGATCGTGGATCCCAATCAGTTTGTTCACCAGACGCGTGACGGTCCTGCGTGGGTGCCGTGCGAGTTTGACATTTCTGCAGATGGCACTGCATCATTGGTGGGTGGTATGCGAAGTCATGTATATCCACACCTTGCCCAGCATGTTGCCGGTCCGGTCCTCTCTGCAGCTCTGCCCTTGTTGGCTAAGTTGCGGCGACCTCAGCTTCTCCTGGATGATCGGCGGCTACAAGTTGTGTTTAAGGCACAGCGTATAATCGTTCCTGGAGACGCTGGTGACAACTCGGATGCAGAGTACGTCGGTCTCTGGCATGTCGACGGGCACAGAGAAAACGTAGCTGCGGTCGTACTGTACTACTACCATGTTGACTCTTCTCTTCGTGGTGGTGACATGGAGCTCTGTGGACGGGAGCCGATGGATGTGCTGGGCTTCGGCGACTGCAGCAACAACATCAATGAGTTGGGATCGAAGTCCCTTCGGGAGGCTTTGCGAGGTGGAAGCAAGAGTGACAAGTCTTCCGCGGTGCACAACTGTCGGGTTCCAATTGGTCAAGGCACTCTTCTGGTGTTTTCGAACTATCAAATGGCGCACCGGGTCCTGAGGTTAAGAAACACCGGTTCGACAGAGGCCTCGCGTGACTTTGTGGCACTTTTTGTCTTAGACCCGTCCGCACCGGCCCTCCTGCCCGCAAGAAGCATTCTGGCAGCGCCGCACTTGCTGAGACGGACCCTGGCTCCCGTGCAGATTTCAAAGTCAGCCATCCAGAACGTGCTGGAGTTCCTCGGAGTCTCGCAAACCGACGTCGAGCGGAAGATACAGCGCAATCGGCTGCTTTCAGAGCAGTTGAAGCCCTCCGGCGAGTTTGCTTGTGGGGGGAAGGTGTATGCAACCGGGAACGGATGCTATACCATGATCGGCTGGTTGCACAACATGCTCGAGCACAGGCTCGGTAGAGCCCCAGCCTTCGAGGAAATGAACCCGGCAGGCTTCCAGCGACTGAGGGCGCTGAATCTGCCTCCCGAGGGCTCCGACCGCGGCCTCTCGGAGGCGCTATCGCTGCCTACGGCAAAGCTGCAGCAAAGGCTCATACGAGTTTCCCCTAATAAGTCTCCAAATGAAGAGAGCGATTAATGTAGAAGCCGAAGTAATTACCAAGACTGCTTTGGGGGGTTCCTTATTATAATTGGACCCCAAAACCCTATTCTAATTGTTGAGGCGCCTATATTAGGTCCAGAACAATCCTTACCCATAGCTCCGAGATGCTTCGAGCCTGATGTGTTTTCACCAAGCGCACGGCGGCAGCCACGACTACAGTGTACAGGCACATCAGACTGCCACCGGTGCTCAAAATCCATGCGTCAGAGCGACTGCGTCTTGCTGCTTTTGTGTCAAAGTGTCTTGAAACCCCTTCTGGCTTCTAATGCCAGGTGCCGGATGACCACCGACTGCCTAAACCCTAAACCCCTAAACCCTAAGCTCTTAGCCAATAACTCCAAGCATAAACTCCTTCCAAGGAAGCAGGGCAAGGCCATCTTCACCAACCCGGGCACTGCTGTCAACTGCGGTGGAGCGCCGCAAAAGCTTCTTGTTTCTGACTGAAGGTGGCTGAACCTAGTATAGGGGTCTTAATAATTAACTATATTATTTTGGGGGTTCCTTGTTATATTTATACTAGAAAGGACACCCAAACTATTCTAATTATAAAGTCCTCTATAGCTTCTTGTTTCTGATTTTAGGGTTTAGGGTTTAGTCTTAGTTCCCGAATACCCAACCTTTAAGCTTTTTGGGCTCTTATAAATTTAGTAGTAATCTGAAAGTTTAACCTTTTGTTGTCGTGGCTTATTAGGGAAGTAAGAAGCTTGCTGAACCTATTTATATAGTCAAGAGTGTAGGGGTTCAGAAGGTCTTGAAGGATTCGATAACGGTAGTTTTTGTTGCCATGTTTGGGGCTGTATTCGAGTATATGTGGGTTTAGACTAGAAGCCCTTCAGCGCTTCAATCTCAACTCCGTTGTGTTCGAGTTTGGGTCCAAGTTTTTGTTGTGGTAGCATGCGAGATTGATTTTGCCATTGTTCCAACCAGGGGCAGAACATACGTCCTTCCAGATCGCAAGATCCATGTAGTATGATCGCAACAAGCTGCTTATAGTCTCTAGGGTCCTTTTTTCAGGGTTTAGGGTTCAGGGTATAGAGCATGAGTAAGCCTTCGGCCCCGAACAAGCTGACGGCCTGATGTGGAATGCTTGTGGGGTTTGTCCATTTTCAGGCCCGACCTGTCAGCTTGGGCCCAGCGAGGCTTCAGTGATTCGGGCCCAAGGCCTAAACCCTAAACCCTAAACCCCTAAACCCCAAACCCCTAAACCCCAAACCCTATAAACCCTAAACCTCTAAACCCCTAAACCTAAGACGGCCTTGGCCAAGGATTGCCTACCTGGCAGACTGTGCCTGGCGTCAGAAGGGTGTGCCACGACTGCAGGGAACTCGCGGTGGTTCAGATTGAGGCTTTGGTTGGAGGTTCATGGGTAATAAGTAGGGTTTAGGGTTTAGGGTCTAGGGTTTAGGGTTTAGGGTTTAGGGTTTAGGGTAGGGTTATAAGTATATAGGGTGATAGTTCTAACCTGTATTAGACGATTTATAACTCCATTTGTAACTACCTATGAACCTCCAAGTTGGGCTTACGGTCCGACGGTGTAGAGTATTGATGTTTTTTCTTAGCATGTCTGAAGCACTCAAGCCGAAGGGACCTTCATCCAGCAATGCGGACCTGCCGTCCCTCCGAACGGGGATGCGCAATGGAACAGCTGCTGTACTCAAACCTGGGAGACTCTTACCCTAACCCCCCAGGTACCTACTATATAGGCTCTTAGGGCCCCATATAGTAGGTACCTGGAGGGTTAGGGTTAATTACCTTCATTGCAATAATTGCTTGGCTCCGCTATACAACCTTATCAAGCCCGTATCTAAACTACTGCAATCCCGCCACACACACACACAAAAACAAAAAAGCCATGTAACAAATCCAGCACCATTAAACAAAGTACCCCATGAAGCACACCGTTTGAGGTGCAGGAGCAGATCGAGATCTAAAGCCTTAAGCCCTACACCCAATAAGCCCTGCCCTAAACCCAAAGCCCTAAACCCTAAACCCAGCAAGCCCTCCACACCTTCGAGGTGCGCGAGAAGATCGAGATCGACTTCTGCACCGCGACGCCGGGGATCTTCGCCTGCCCGACCTACCGCACAGCCCTGGAGAAGATCATGGCAGAGACAGCTGGCTGAGGTTTAGGGCTTAGGGCTTTCAGGGTTGAGGGTTTAGGGTTTAGGGTTTGGGGCTTAGGGTTCAGGGTTCAGGGGTTTAGGGATTAGGGTTCAGGGTTCAGGAGTTCAGGGTTTAGGGCCGTTTACGGTTTCATGAAGGGTTCTATGAAGGGTTAAGGTTGTCACATGTTTTAGATATGGTTTATAATTTTTCTTCAAGAAACGGTTAAGGGTCTTCGTAAGGCTGTTGCTTATTTGTCTTTTATGAAAAGTAAGGGATTCAAGCCGGGTTTTCGAAAGGGTTTCTGAAGGGCTCATTAAAGTGTTTTATGAAGGGGTATGATAAGCATTTCATGGAGGTTGTATGAGTGAGTCTGAGTGAAGGAGACAGGTTTCTTTGAATGAGTGAATCTGAGTGAAGGAGACAGGTTTCTTTGAGGGCTGAACAAGAGGTTGAGGACTTGCGGCTTACAGGGCTTACTTGGAGGTTCATGGGTAGGTATATGTGGAGTTATAAGTGCCCTACTGCGGGTTACTCTAACTATAGTTACCCTACTTATAGCCCTACTTGTAACTACCCATGAACCTCCAAGTATACGTTCTAAGGGGTTTGGGTTTTAGATGGTTTTAGGGTTTAGGGTTACCCATAGGCCCCATAGTAGTTCCTCTTTGGGATTACCTACTAGGATCCTAAATATCAGCCACAAAACGGAACTACTACTGCTGATGGACAAAATTCTGCATGACCCAAATAAGGTCATGCAGGATTTTGTCCATCAGCCGTATGGGGCCTCTGGGTAGCCTTGCAAGGAAACCCTAAACCCTAAACC